ATCGGGCGATGGGGGTATGTGGTGGGGCGTGGTCTGCGGTGCCGTGCAGGGAGGGCGGACGCACCTGCACGGCATCCTTAATCACGCCCGCCTAGTTAAAAACACGGGGACTGAGGGGTTTGGGGGTGTTGTGGTGTGGTGAGATGTAAATAAAGATGACTCTGAACGTTGCTCCGTGGTCCCGCCGTGTCTTATTCACGCCACAAACTGTTATTCTAATCTGCTGCTGAGTCTCTTACACTTTTCTTTATGCTGTATATTTTCACGTCTCTGGAATAGTTGGCAGTTAGATAGTCAGCTGGGAAACTTTGTGTTAACTCATGGAGCTGAGGATATCGTGGATATGCTGACCTCGCTGCGTGGTGTACAGAGCAAGGTCAGCATGATTAATATTCACAATAAAAATATTAGCCGAACATCATGAAGTCTGTATGTGTTTCATAGTGTCGAACAACCTTTGTACAGTTAAAGCCAGCAGTTACTACATGACGGAAACACCAACGTTATCTCTTTTATGTGTTTATACACAGGTCACGCTGATTACTGAACAAAAACCCAAAGATCAGATGTTAAACAGATTTATTTGCTCTCTCTCCTCCTTAAACATGTTTTTAATGTTAGTTATAATTCAGAATTGGCGACTGAAACACGTAGGACACATAAGAACATCAGGAAATAAAACACCGATAAATATAACCTCAGTAAAAGAAGTCAGCGGGGTTACTACAGCTGTGTACCGGGGCCTGCGCTTTGTCGGTGGGATTGCTTGTGAGGCGAGCGGGTCTATCCCACGCTTTGCCGTGAGACTGGGACGACATCTCCGAAATCATCGAAACACTTTTGCAAAGAGGCTGTATCTTGACAAACCGACCAGACACATGAAGATTAAACCACTACATTCTCGGCTAAAAAAATATTAAAACTGTATTTGGTAACACACAAACAGGGTTTTTCAAAGCTCAGTTCTGTTAGCTTCCACATGCCGGTTGTGTGCTAGAAACAATGGCCACCAGGCCAAAGCAATGGTTTTGACTCGATCAGCGTTAACCCCGCCCCTGAGTTTGATGGGTGAGGCTGACAGATAAAATTATTTCATGATGAGAGCCAGGCGTCAGGACTGCCAAAATGAAATAAATAAATATATCATTAAATAATTAATTAAATGTGTCAATAATTAATTAAATGTGTCAATAATTAATTAAAATGTGAAATACATAAATAATTAATTAAATATGTCAATAATTAATTAATTAAATGTGTCAATAATTAATTAAAACGTGAAATACATAAATAATTAATTAAATGTGTCAATAATTAATTAATTACATATATCATAACTATTTATTTAATTAATTAATTCCAATTTTAATTAATTATTGCCACATTTAATTAATTATTTAATGGTGTATTTAATTAATTCATTATGGCAGTCCTGGCGTTCCATATGTAGGAGCCATAATTGAATGTATTGAATTTTGATGATCACTGGGTTTTTTATCATTCACTGGTTTTGATTTTGACAGAGAGGAGGGCTGGGTAGCCGTAGTTTTTGTTGACCGCTGCACAACATGTTTCACTTCGTTATATTAGAGCCTGTGACGTTGTAAGAGTCTGAATCAGGAGCCGATGACATTACTCTGTAAACTCTCAAAGCACTTTAATAAACAAGCGAACAATTCCACCTCTCGCATTATTGCGTAAAGTTGACAGCGCGTCAGGCAAATAGGCAGGCTTCATCCCCGGCCTCTAGCGACTGTGGAAGTCGCTACAGTAGCGAGTAAATAAAGAGCAGTGCTTCTACATTAAGCCTGTGGACTGAGGAAGATGAATTTGTGGAGCATAATAATTATATTAAGACACAGAATTGGAGAAAATAGTTATTCTTACCAAGGTCATCTAGTCATCATTTACCTGAGTTGAATTTTCTTTAGTAGCTAAAGCTGGAGTTCTATCAAATTTTACTTTGTGTAGTGTGTGAATGGGTGAATGACTGAATGTAGTGTAAAGCGCTTTGGGGTCCTTGGGGACTAGTTAAGCGCTATACAAGTGCAGGCCATTTTTACCATTTACTTTTGATTTTAAAATTGAAGCTACAAAAAGAACTCGCTGTATTGAAAGATGTATTACAATACTTTAAGGCATGAGCTAAAGGAGATAAATGAAGACTAAGAGAAAAAACAACCACGTGAGCTTAATCTCAAAATGGATGATGGGGAAAGAGAAACATTGCAACGTCAGTCAGAAAATTCTTGTGTCCACATAGGAAAAAAAAATCTCACAGTCAGCAGGACTGAGTAAAAAGGATATGGGACTTCATGGTGTTATGCAGAAGTTCTGGCTAGAAACGCATCAGAAACAAAAGATCTCATAATGGCAACCAATTAAAAACAATTAAAAAGTGATGGATAAAATTAGGGATGCACCGATACCGGTATCGGCCTCGATACCACATTTTCTAAAGTACTCGTTAAAAGTCCCCCGATACCGGGGACCGATACCACGGTCTGAGACCTGTCTATGTTTGAGCTGCATGTAAGGGGTTAATCACAGGCGCCGAGTGCCCGCCCCCAGGCCCCGGCTGCAGCTCAGAGCTGGGAGAAGGGCAGGCGAGACAAGTGAGCCGTGTGGAACTAATTCAAAGTGAATGAAGACGCGGAAACAAAGGCGGACTGCATATAGTGCTCAGCGAAATTGTCCAGAGGAGGCTCAAAAGGTAGCGCATTTAACACAAGTAATTTAAACCTAATGTCTGAGTAAAGGACCAACCAATCACACAACTGGCCCCGCCCTGTCTCTCTTGATTGACAGACAAAGTCATTCTGCTGAAAAGTCGCATTATGAAATAAATAGACAAAACGGGAATTTTGAAGTAAAGACTGACTTTGAAAAACGGGCATTTTGGAATAAAAACGGCTGGAAATAAATAAAATGCCTCAGCAATAATCTCTGTTATTGGGAAAAATAATGACCATGAAATAATATTTCAAATTAATAAGTAAATTTATATAGCAGAATGCTATATATTTCACAATAATGAGCATTTTTTTCAAAATGTCTTCCATTAATTCACAATTTCATTCTCACATTACATATCTGTGTCTTATTTATTCAATTGTTATTTATTTCATCATGACCTATTTATTTATTTAATTTTGAACACTTTGGAGTTCCATACAGGGCAACTTGCAATACTTGCAAAGTAGATATTTCATTTAAGGGAGGAAAAACTACGAATATGAAAAAGCATTTGCTCACAAAACACGCGACGACCTTAAATGAATGTCATGTTTTTGATTCCGCTCCGGACAAGTGAATCTCAACCCAGCAGCAGCGGTAACGTTTGCACGTCCTCTCCCGTTAATGTGGCAGGTAAATAATCAACTAACAGTGCATATTATGTTAGCGCGATCTGCCTTATTACAAAACCTGCCATTACTGTGCATTGAGGTGACCATGATGAGAGAGACAGACAGAGTCTGGCTCAGATGCTGGCAGTTCTCGCTGCAGTCTACCGGTAGCGTCTCCTTTCAGGCCAGGATAGACGAATGTCACAGAGCAGTGACTGAGTTTATGGTAAAAGGCTTGCACCTATTTGCCACAGCAGATGCCCCCGATTTACGATAAGTGAATGTGTTTAATTGTAGGCAGGGACATTACTGGATATTCTTGTGGAATTGCTACAGAATAATTTATGTTATACTTTGTTATTGCTGCAGAAGAATATTTATTTTATTATTTTACATTTACATCTTCTGTGTTTGAATGCAAAACAAATGTGTTGTTTGAGCTAAAGACCCCACTTGTGGCTCAATGATAAATTAATTTGTGGCAGGGAGGTGTGGTCATTGGCTCCACTGCAGAGGAGGGGTGGTGCATCGGGCTTGAGGGGCAGTGTCAGAGAGGCTGAGGTCCAGGTGGAGGGAATTAGCCTGATGAACTCTGCCCTGCCATTATAATCCAATGGCATTGCATGAGGGTACTGATAAAACTCTGGAGCGAATAATGGCCTGATTTTATTGGTCTTGCATCTGAGCGGATGTGCGCCGACGGTGCGCGTACTGCCTGGATTGTCAGCTGGTTTACCAGCCAGCCATCCCAAAAGTACCTTTTCATGAGAAAATTTGCTCCAGGCACAGGAACATCAACAGTGCCTGCACAACAGAGGGGCTAGACTCAAGCAATTTTCACTAGGATACAAAGTGCTTCCAGCCAAAAGTGACTCACCAAGTTGCAAGGGCCAAATTCCACAATTCCCGCCTCCTTCCATTGTGATAACCATCTCACACAGGCCCAGAGAGCGGCTGTTGCTGCAGGGTTTTGCAGACGTAATCTCCCCCCTGCCCGGCTGTACGACTCTCATAGGGCACCATTAGAAAAAAATTACAGCCTTGAAAAAAAACATGTAAACCTTTCAATTCATTGGTCTGAAGTTATAGAGGCGTTAATGCACAAAAGGAGACCAGACATACCAATATAAGCTGAAAAAAGCTGCCTTGGACCCCTCAAAAGCAGGACTATTCTCACCCCCACAAAGACATTTTTTGAGAACCTAGCCAATATGTTTTTATTGAATTGAAAGAAAATGGTTACCATTTTCTCTCTTAACCCTTGTCCACTCTATGATGCCCTCACATTTTTTCCCCAGCTGCACTTTCAATGGCTGAAAGACTAGAACACACTGAATATTTACAATTTTCCCTTTTTAGATCCATGATCCATGGAGTGCTTAGATCCATGAGCACTCTGGTCAACTTTGTTGTTTTAAAGTGCTATATAAATAAAGTTGAATTGGATTGGAGTGGATGAGATGAGCCTTCACTGAGCAGGCTGATCAAAACAGAGGCCAGGACTCAGTGATCCTCACTGCACTTGGAAACAGAATCAAATACAACTTGACCAAGAAATGAAGTCACTAAGAAGAACACGTGTTTCACTTCAATTTTATTATTTATCGCGCAACATAAAACAATATTGTGGGTTGGTTTTTTATTCTTTTTTTCTTTTTTAACCACATACACTATGTATTCACATAATACACCATACAGCTACAAAGAGAGAGAGAGACTGAACAAAAACACTTTTTTTTCCTTTTTTTTTTTTTTTTTACATACTGCATCCTTGACATGAAAAATAAAGAACCAAGAACAATCCTCAAACTTAACGGAATGTAGCTGCCAGTTGTGTTGGTTCACTTTCTTTTTCTTTCTTTTCCTTTTATTTAATTTTATGGGTCAGGGTCCAAGTCTCTATCCCAAATTTCAAGTGTTCGTTAAATTAGGACTGTGGGCCATACACAGTTAGATGCAAATCTATGTGTGTTTATCTATGTGTGTCAAAAACTATACAAAATTTAGAAGAAAGAGAGGGAGTGAGTAAAGGAAGTGCATCACTTGGGAGAGGAACAGGGAGGCAGTACGCAATTTTTTTTTTTTTTTGTGTCGTTCAAATATCTTAGCATTCAGTTAACATGAACATGTACAACATACTCAAAAGATCATTTGAATAGCCTCTGGTACTTGCACAGTACCAAATGTAAAACCCAGCTAACAGTCTTCATATAATATGATTCTATATCTCGTCCTATTTTAAATGAATTCAAGTACAGTATGGAATGAAGATTAATAGAGAATGTAATCAACAGTTTGAGTGCACCACCTGCCCTCAAAAAGAGATGTAAATTTGTAGCGTTGTAACAAAAGACTTTTCATAAAGTCAGCACCAGGGCAGCTTCCCTTCCTGTGAAACTGCTTTAATCAAAAGTATAGTTCTCTTGACATTCGAAGAGCTCAGAAAAATATTTGTGGTAATTATTTATCCCTCGCTTTTTTTTCCTTTTTTGTATTTTTTTTAACACAGTGAATTTTTAAGGTATAGCATCATAGCACCGACTGAACCGACTCACCCCCCAGGATCTCAGTACTTGTCCGCTTGGGAGGTGGTGCCTCTCATGAGAACCATCCACCAAAGTTATGAAGCATTTAGAAATGTACAAAGTCACCAAGATATCATATGCACCATATCCTCAGCACCCTTTTGTTGTTTCGGTAATTGTTTGTGTTGTGTCTGTGCGTGTGTGTGTGTGTGTGTGTGTGTGTGTGTGTGTGTGTGTGTGTGTGTGTGTGTGTGTGTGTGTGTGTGTGACTAATATATGGGCAAGTCTTAAGCTCAATACGTAAAATGGGTCTTGTTACTGCACTATCAAACTACTGTTAGACATGGCGTGGGTCACCTAATTATCATGGCAAATGAAAGATCTGCAGTCTTCCGCGGGGGAGCTGTGATTTTTCTGCCACGTGCATACTTGGCTATTACAAAAGCTGAAGCGAATAATAATGATGACACATCTAAGCAAGCAGGGCGGTGGTAACACAACTGACAAAGACTGCTGGGCAGTAACTCATTAAAGCGTCGCCCAATGTTTCACCTCAGACTGGCTCCGTGGCAGTCAGTATAGTTATAGGGGGGGTGTTTGATAGTAAATAATAGTTCATCATTGAAAAACTTCCCATTCTCTCTCCTGTTGACACTCAGAAGAAAAACTCTGTACTGTTCTAACGTCTGTATGATAAATATGAAGCCGCAGCTATCAGACAGCTGAGATCAGCATAAAGACCGGGCACACAGGAAGCAACATAGGTAACAAAATCTGCCCGCCAGCAGCTTTAAAGCTCACTCTGTTTTCTCTGTTTCCTTTTTGTTATTTTTTTTTCTTTTCAGAGGACTTTGTACCAGACTGTTTCCAGGCTGGAAGCAGTGATTCTTTTTTATTTTTTATGAAATATCTGCTGGTGGTCTTGTTAGCCTGGGATGTAACCCCCTGTAAAACCAATGTGACAATGGTGTTGACAAACCTTACTTAACGTGTGTTAAAGAGGTTTAAAGTGCTGGCAGTTTGATTTTAGTTAGGCTAGCTGTTTCCCCATGTTTTCAGCCAATATGCTAAGCTAAGCTAATCAGCTGCTTAAGTCAAGCTAGTAAACTAGCCAAGAGGTAACTCTTATCACGCTCGTGGGAATGTGGGAATCACATTATTCAGATTTTGGCATTTGTTTGGGGTTTTTTTTAAAATACGATGCTGTCATGAATCTGTCACAGAGTTTGAGAATGTCAACAAAATTGAAAATAACAACAACTGAAAGCTGTCAAGCTAAAACTCTAAATTCATACATTAGCACAACTGCAACACGGGGGATCTCTTATTTTCGCTTTACTGTTGCCAGTGAGTCAGCTGAGTGTGGTTTCATGTTACAGAATTGGGCTGACTAAATCGTTTTCAGAAATTTCTGGGGCTCTGTCAGTCGCATGCCGACAGGGGGTACAGTATTAGGAAAGCAAAAACAGCAGAGTGACTAAGCACAGATTTGCACACAACACATTGGGGCCAAGTGTTGTTTACTGATGTTCAGGGCTGTCAGAGACTTCAAAAATACCCCCATGTCATTCGTGGTTTTGTTACTTTCCTCACAAGTTAAATAATCTTACCTAAATAGTTTGATATTTACATTTTTTATCTCTCTCTTGAGGAAATTTAAAAAAAAAGAAGCTTCAAGTTGTCAATAATCGGCTCTTTCTGTGTCATTAAAATCAAGATTAAAAGTGCTTTTATAAATCTTTTCTTCTTTATGTACAATTTGTATTAGCTATATAAAAAATGATGAAAAAAAACAATAACATCAAAGACAATCATTATCATTATCACCATGTAGTAATAAATAAGAGTAAAAAAAAAAAAAAAGCAGGTTAAAATGAGTGTGGAGATCTAGAGCACACAAAGGGACATGCATGATTCTCTGCCCTCAGTAGCAAGTCGTGATTGTGACCAGTGTCTCTACAGCGTGAGGTAGAGAGCTGGAGAAAATCGGGAGAGGTAACAGGGTCTTTCACAGATGACCAGGGCCTTGGCCCAAACGACCGCCCAGCAGCTGGGAGTCGGCTTGCATCAGCAGTCTCTCATTTTCATTTCTGACACATGTTGCAGGTGAACCATGTGACCACAAAGGAAAATAAAAACGAGCGATTTACAGGACTCTCACCAGGCTATCAAATAGTCTCTCTCTTTGGCTCTTTTCAGACACACACGCACGCAAAGTGAGAGATTCATCGATCTGTTGCGCTCACGTTCGGCGCCAAACCCTGGAAGCTACAGAAATTTTCTACGGTTTCCCTTTTATCTCTCAGTACTATTTTCTCTGTGAAAAGCACTGCTAAATGGGTTACCAAGAAATGCAGTGAATGACTGTGCTTTCTCTGCCCTGTACAGTGTACTTTTCTTTTTGTTTGAGACAAAAATCACTACATGCCACAACAAACTGCAAAAAATAAAATAAAATAATAACTCCTCTAAAGGAAACCAGTTTTTGAGCCCAATGTGGAGCTGAACCACACGGTGGCCATTTTGATTGGCTGGCTCTGCGGTGACAAGGTGCCTGCAGAAGGACACGCCTCACTCTGCTCAAAGATGACAGCACCATGCAGAGAAAGGAGTGGGCCCTTCACAGTAAATCAAGTGTAATAGGAGAGCACCAGAGTGTGTGTGTGAGCACCAAAAGCACTGCTGTCCCAACACTGTTTCCTGCTGCTCCAACCCACGATGGGTTTCCGGTTCACATCTGTGGCACATTTTTAATGTCAGCTTTGCCTTCAGCTGTTTTATCAAGTCCAATCTATGGTCAGCGAGCAGGGTGGATAGCCCCCTCTAGTGGCCATGGATGGTTAAAGCAACAATGAGACAAGGCTGCCATCTAAATGAATCCCAAGTGCTTATAGGTTTGTTTGTACACACCACTTTGAAACAGCAGTCGACGCTGCCCTCTAGAGTTTACACTGGGAAGTGCTCACTCCTACTTGAATGTTATAGGAAGATAAAAGAGTGCCACCTGTGGGAATAGCAGATCTGGGTTAAATGGCTTACACAAGTAGTATCGCTTGTTTTGGCCTCTGTGGAGCACCGGGTGTGAGAACTTCAGTTCTCCGCACAGAGCACAGGAAAGCTTCTGTGAGATAACTCGTTAGGACCTTTCCCTAGCACGACACAAGTTCTGCACCTTTGTGTTAAAAGCAGTAAATCCCAGTGTTCTGGTATCCCACCTGGGCCGAAACACAAACTTTTTAGTTGCAAATACTACTTGAGCCAAATTTGAGTTAGAGCACCTAAATACAGCATCGAGTGCCATGAAGAGTAGCGGAATGGAAATCGATCAGAGCAGGAAGCTGAGCACCAGTCAGAAGCTAGAAGGGAGAGTAGGAGGAGCGCATCATCTCATCATCACGACAAGGCAAGCTGCAAAGGTTTCTCGCAGTAATGGTTAAGAGTTATTCTGAGCCCGGGGACCATTTTCTTCCTTCAGCATGACACTTGAAACCAATCGCTGCGCTTTTTCTAGGTGCCTGGAGCAAAAGGGCTTTGGTGATTTCCCTCCTTACTCTTATCTTTTGTAATATTTGTGTAGATGGTTGTTTGCTATAATGAAAAAACATACTGTCAGTGGCGTATTTGACAGTGGTGATGCTGGTACTGATTCATTAAAAATCAATACTTTTGATCAGGATCTTCATAATGGTGATTATTGTGATTATTCTTTAAAAAGGCCCAGAAATGGCTTTATAAACTAAAAGAAATGATTGTGGTGACTATATTGTTGATTTTTCTGCCGTATCAGGGAGATAATGGCTCCTCCTTATCTAAGTACAGCTTTAAGATTGATAAGAACAAAGTCAAGTGGGGGGGAAGGGTGCATGTTTTCCAAACATGGAAAAAGCAAGTGTCCAAGTCTGTCAAACTCAGACTGATTGATTTAACAAAAATATAAAAACAAAACAAAACAGGTCACCTTATTAATAATAACATTAATGAAAAGAGCAATAATAAAAAAAAAAACAAGTCTTCATCATAATAATACCTGTAATAACAACATTGACAGTAACAATCATAATAATATTGATAATAATAGCAATAATTAGAATCATTAAAATTCTATAAACAAGAAAAAGCAATGGAGTTCCTCTCCGGGGAAAAGAGAGGAAGAGCACCACAGGCAGTGTGTCTGAAGCCCAAACCACTGCCTGACATGAGGTAAAAAACAATAAAAATGTCCCCCTCCTCCAAGTGGACTGTAGAGGGAGGCAGGATGGAGGGATGCCAGACTGCGGGACGGCTGAGAGACATTGATTCTGCTCAGTGCTCTCTCTCCAGCCCTCCACTGCACCACTCTGTAGCTATCAGTCACTCTGTGTCTATGTGTCCTCACACAAAGTGGCTGTAGGGCCCCGTGACGACGGTGGAGGCATAGGGAGACACAGTAACCGTAGAGGTGGTGTAGAACGAGGGGGATAACCGCGTCACCGGCCCCTCCTTCTTGTCTTTAGATTGTCCAGGTCCTGGACTAGCGCCTGCCGCCGTAGCGCCCCACTTGCGTTTCTTCCCGAGTGCCTTGATATCCTCCTGGGAGAGGCCAAGGAGAGCTGCTTCCTGCTGCCTCTGCAGTGCTCGCTCTGCCAGCAGCTTCATTTTGGCCTCCCAAAGAGCCAGGCCATGCATGGGCTGGTTGAGGTTCTTGTGCTGGTAGAAGACCAGGGAGATGCGGGAGGGGTGGGAGCGGTCAGGCTTTTTGAGTGGAGTGGTAGCATGTAGTTCCCGACGAGCACATTCGATTAGGATGGAGCCGTGGGCTGGTGCCACTGCTACCCCGCCTATGTAAGGGTCCAGGAAGTTGTGCTCACTATCAGACCAGACCTCATCCTCGTCCTCTTCGCAATTCTTGGTGCTCTCGACGTCGCTCTCTGCTCGGCTGGGCGTGTAGCAGGCCTGATCTGATTGCTGCAGGGCATCGGGGAAGAGGCGACCCTCTGGAGCAGGGGAAGGGGTGTTACTTGCCACAGAACCTCCAAAAGACTTCCAGGCCTTTTCCTGGGGCCCAACCGGAGTGGAACACCGACTTTCTCCAGTCTTGGACCAGATCTTGTCGGGATAGGCCCCTGCAGGATTGCTGTGCTTCATACCAGGACTATAAGGCCCCATGCCCCATGTTTGCGGCTGTGGGCTAGCAACGGGGCTCGCCCAGTGCCTGGGGGTGCCTGGATGTGGGGTACTTGGCCGTGGTGTAAGTGGGCCTGCGTGAGAGACACCGGGCTGTGGGGTTACTGGGTGAGGGGTGCTTGGGCGTGGAGTGCCAGGGCGTGGGGAAGATTGATGTATGTTACCTTGGACCACTGTGCCTAGCTGAGGGGATGGAGATGGAGAGGGAGGTACCTGGAGTGACGGTGATGGGGCAGGGGAAGCCCTCATAGTGTTTAAGCCAAGGAAGGATGACCACTGCTGCGGGTAAGGAGAGGCCTGCCGCTGCTGGAGATGCTGGTGAAACTGCTGCTGTTTCTCCGATGAGGCCTCGGAACTTTGTTTATGCTTCTGATGGGCATCCCAAGTGGTGGGAATAAAACTTCCATTAAGCTTGTGCCCAGGCCAGGTCACAGGTTGCGAGGGGCTTCTTGATGTGTTGGATCCGACCTGGTTCGGAAGCGTGCCTTCATAGACTGGCACATCCATAGGCTCCTGTTTGATGACCGGCGTGCCTCTGTTGGAGGACTCAGAGGAGGCAGAGGAAGGACGGGATTGGCTATAAACTGGTGCCTGGGTGTAAGTCGTGTGATTTGGTTGGTTGGTTTGCTCTGCTTGGCTGGAGCAGGAAAGAGCCACCCTGGACTGAAAGTTTTGAATGTCAGGCTTCTGATCTACCTGGACAGCTTTACAGCCAGCTCTGGGCGAAGAGCCATTTCGACCCTCATAGGTCCTCAGTACAGGGGGGAAAAGTGTATTGGGTGAGCACCTGTAGTAGGCATAATCCATTGGGGGCAAACTGGTGTGGAAACCATTTACTGTATCAGGTGCAGAGGGCTGGCCAGTTGTGGGGAGGCCTCCCCTTGCATAGAAGACGGGGTTTGTATACATGGGATTTACTGGGTCTACTGCTTGCACAGAATATCCATCTATCGATCCGTTTAAGGGTTCCTTTTTGATGTTGGGCTTCACCTCTTGTTTTATAATTGCTGTTTGTTTGACACAAAAGAAAAGTAAGGAAAATGGGTTACAAACAAGTCAAAATCTTAAAGTATTTCAGCTTTTACAATCCGGTGATAACAGGTAAACACAAAGGACATTTTAAGTTACTTAGATCTAAAACAGAAACTAACCTTTATTGCCTTGGGGTTGAGGGAAACTGCTAATGCAGACCTCGGCTTTGATCCCCGTCTTCTCCGGCGTCTCTCCTGCTTGCTGGATGAGTTTATTTTTCTTCTTCTCTGAGGCAGCCTTCTTTGCCTCTAGTCGGCGCTGTCGGCATGACTTGGCAGGTTCGGGCAACTTGCGCACCTCACGGCGGAAAGCGTTAAGCACCTGGATAGCTCCTGTCTCCATCTTGCGGTTCTGGGCCTCCTCGCTGCCAAACTCATCTGTCGGGGATAACGTGTAAAGAGGCAACACGTGGAGCTGCTCGTCCTCTGGGACTTCTCCCACTGTTCGGTTGTCCTCCTTTGTCAAAGTACACACCTGGTAGAGCGTGGCACAGAGTGTGTGATAAAACAGCCGCACTTTTTATGTAGCATTTTCAGCTCATTAACAATGTAGCCATTATTCAGTGCAAAAAAGAGAAAGGTTTAATGATCTTACCACTGTGCATCCATTGTACAGGTTGTGCTGGTCCTTATGAGCGTGAGCACAAAAGTCCATGCAAGCAGTGATTCCAGAGAATGGACGGCCTTCCTTCAAGCCCAGCCTGCATTCAGGAGCTTTGGACTCTGTCTGGCACTGAAGTAAAGGACAGAGATAGCATTAAACCAGCTATAGGAAGGGACTCATTTCTGCATTCTTAAAATACACAGAAACACAACACTTAAGATTGCTTCCTTTCTCAAAGCCAAGTCCTCACAGGTATACTAAATCATAAGGTAATAATGCGTGCGAGTTGGTTTTGCATCTTTAGAAACATCTCCTGCTGAGATCTTCTTTCCTATGTTGGTTTGCTAATAGACATGTGCCTGTACAACACACCTGGTTACTGTAGGCTTGTGGTGCTAGTTGCTTGTACACAGGAGCCACCTCAGTTGCCAGAAGCTGGAAGTTATCCCTGAGTTTTTCCTCCTGATGATGAAAACATGAATCACAGGTCAGACAAAACTATAAAGTGGTATCTTAAAATTTACAGATGCTATTCTGAAAAGAACAAGAAGAGAAAAGAATTTTAAAATAAAAAAAATAATATTAATCTTCTCATTTGCATACATATGTACTCATACAATGCTTGTAAAAAGGCAGCTTTCGCGTGATGAGTACCTCTTCAGGGTGTTCTCCCTGTAACCTGAACTTTCGCGGCATTTTGCTTCGTGCGTACTTGCAGCCGTTAAAGTACATACTCCATGAGCAACCAAAAGAGAAGGAAGCACCACAAGTTTCAGGATCCTTGCCTTGACAGGCACAAGTACGGCTGTAGGGGGAGACAGAGAGCACACTGAGCTTCATTCATAGAAGACGTGCAGTCTGGCATGTTTTACTACCTCGTGTGCACCACTGTAATTGAGAGTGTTAGCGAGACAGTTGGTTTCATTTGAAGCAATCAATGTTGAATGGTGATCATCTTAGACTTAAGCCACACATTTTAATAATGTCCGGTTTTATTAAAATTGCTTTATATGTCAAAGTTACTATATGTTACACACATATTGGAGGGAAACACAAAGGCAGCTTCAGTGCCTACACAGAAGATAGAAGCAAGACTTATTTCTCCATCCCAGATGGTGAGTGGTTCACATATCTAAGCCACCAGACACGGGGGTGTGTTAACATTTACTCATGGTTAGCTGAAGGGCTGGGTACTAGGTGAACAGTGTAACAGAGAACAAAATGTACACATTTCATTTTTGTCGTAATTCTTGTCTTAAAATTCACTTTTATGTCATGAATATGAACTTTGGACAAATTTGATCCGGTCAGGATATTTTCCACACTTCTCCACTGCTTCTGACTTATTCCCACTACTGGAAATATAAATACAACAATAGTGTTGTTAAAGTGAGGAAGCATTCTGAACATGCAAAGAGGCTGGACACATGACTGACTAGCAGTGAATGTGATGAACAATAACCTGTGCTTTCACACATGAGTGAAACACCACTCTGCCTTTGTACTAGAGAGTCGGCAGGTTTAAGACAGGCTAATGTCTAACCGGACTGAGTCAGACATTACTGTTGTCACACGCACTTCTGTCTAAGGATGTTTATAAATGTTCAGGACAACCATGTGTGGCATGTGTGAAAAAGATACCCAGAGTTTAAACACCATCTGCTTCAAAAATCAATATATTCAAAAGTCCATCCATTTCCTGACAGACATCCAGAATGAAAAACTAGCCATCCCCTACTCACTCCTCATTGAGGCCACAGCGTCGGCTGGTGGGGTTGCCATGTTTGGTGAGCGTGTCTGTGACCTCTCTGTACAGTTGGTCAGCCAGGGCCCTCGGTACACCTTCCCAGGCTATAATGACGACGATGATGACAGCATTGTCACAGCGATGGCCTGCACGTTGCCTCACCAGACACAGCAGCTTCTCTTTCTCGTTGCCTCTACGGATCACCTGACAGGAAACAAAGCTTGTGAGCTTTTACTCGCACACAAAAATCCAATGCTAATAAAGCCAAATACAATTTCAGTCAGTTGATAGGATGTTCCAAGAGCTCCTTGTAGTTCCTGCATTTGGCCAGCAGATGTCCAGCACACCCATACATTTTGATATAGTGACAAACCAGACATAGTTGAGGGTTACATTTTATTTAAGAAGGATATTTACTCCTTGAACTAAAGTCTGACCCACTTCTGTGACTGAATACCACTTCTTTAAGTCAGTTCCCCTAGCTTCCTAATCTTTCTGTCTTAAAACACACCCAAACAGTCACCCTCCCTCAGCAGGGTGGTTGTTTTGAATCCATAAAGTCATTAGCAGGATGTGTCAGGGGTGACACAGGAGAGGAGGCCAGGCAGTTGTCACAGAGTGAGACCTCCTACTGATTTGCTCACTGTGGATGGCAACTCGCCTGTGTGTCTCCCCAGGACCCCTCACTATACAAACATGCACACACACTCACATGTCACATAAATTGCTTGTTGACAGGCTGTCAGTGTTGGCAGGTGGGATAAACACTGAAAAAAACTCTCACTCTCACTTTTTTATCTTTCACTTGAACTGACACAAATGTTAGCACCCGGTCAGCCTCTCTTTACTCTTAGGGCCTTGGTTGGTCAAAGCCCATTGGTCGCTTTGTGCACTCCTGGAGATACCATCGGAAAGCGTCACAGGTACCTGCTGCAGTATTCTCCTGAACAATAGGCGTCGCTCCACATCAGCGCTGATACAGGAGAAGACGAAGGCAAAACTGGAAGCAAAGCCTCATCTTTTCAAACTGCTGCAGCATATCCCACGGTATAATCTATGTACCGCTGAGCTTCTGTATTCATCATTAAAACCAAGGTAAAAATGACACGATTGTACATGCGTGTCTTCAACCTGATTGCAGCTGTATCACCATGTAACAAGAGGTGCACAACAGCAGCTAGGGCGTCAACTCTTTACCAGTCGGAGGGTATAACAGGCTCTTTAGTGGAACATTCATTTATAAAATGAACATAATTTTTACTGATGCATGAATCAAACGAGCAGTAAACTTCTTATAGACTTCAGCTCAAGATATTACTCCCCTGGCTGTTAGAAAGGCACTTAGCACTGGTTTCACTTTTCAGACCCAAAAGCTATGACATGTCCCTCCTTTATATACAGTGTAGGGACATGTTTCTCAACACTATTGCTCACTGTCTGTTGTAGGCATGTGTGTTGGAAGTTATCCAGCATCTTTCAAAACCGCATTTTGGATGTGCTGTGATGCTACTTACCCACTTAGCAATAGGACATCCGTGGGAACTCTTTCCCTCTTTGCCTGTGTAAACCACCTTCTCAATCCGGATGGCTTCCCCCTTCTCTCCAAATCTGCATACAGAGAGACGCAATTCACTGTTTTACTGCATGTCTGACTTTAGTGTTGTGACACAAAAACCTGACACTCTCAATGTCCTACATATAAAAACACACTGCAGTCATTTCTATGTTTTGTCTCCGTAGAGAAACCAAACCAACCACAAGGAACTGGGGCATTTAAATACTGAACCTTCATGTTTTGCTGCAGGGGACTTGTTATGCTCATTTCCAGCTCCATGTAACTAGAAAAGTTACATGAAGTTTTGCACATTTCAAAATATTCCTTGTTTATCTCAAGTCAGACTTGATGAAGACCCCTAAATTCATTCACTGTGTAGAACAAAGTGTTCAGCTTCCTTTAAGCCAGCTTTATTCTGAATAGCTACCGTCTCACAAACAGAAGGCCTAAATCTCAGGTAGGTGTGGCGTTCATGCAGCCAGTTCTCTGTACCTGTGAGATGGTCATATTCAGGATATCCACTCTCACTGACATCACACAGATCCAAAAGTAGAAAAATGGTGTGAAAAGGAGCATTCACAGAAGCGTGAAAGCCTGAACCTTCAAAAAGAAACTGCATATTCTGACCTTATTCTTTGAATTTTACAGAACTGACTGTAACAGCAACCAAGGAAGGTCACCTTTAAGAGCTATACTCAAACCCTCCAAAAGACTACACACATGTAGTTAGGTGCAGGTACAGTTTCTAAAGGTACTGTGTTTCAAAAAATGTTGTAAAACTGGGAAAACTTTCCAGTTTGTCCATGTGTTCAAAAACCATGGAAAAGTGTGACATTACTGATTAAGAGAGCAGAAAAATATGCTGGCCAAATGCTATTGGTACCAAAACACAATAACTATGGACAATGAACGGCTACTCAGTAGCAGTTCCAGCAGCACCTGATCAGTAACAGGAGATTTCAGATTTCCACTGAGGGATATTAATCAAAGGTTTCTTATTGCCACAAGTGACCTCATCAGCAGTGGTTCTTAGTCTTTATTCCAAAGGTTCGTTTTGCCTTTCTCATTTTTCTCCACCTCTAAGTAGTCTGAGGGAGTAGCATTATATGTCAATCCTGACAAAAACAAGTCAACTTGATTAGGAGTGCATGTTCACAGTCCTCTGCTGAGATTCACACAAGCATGGCAGAGTAAATCTGATCCCTTAGCTTCCAAAACAACTCGGGCCAAAAGGACTTCTCTTGGACATATTTCTGTGCTGATAGTAGCTTGAATGCATTAGCAATTGTACACAAACATTTCTGTTTGTTTTTGTGTCCTAATGGTGCGTGGTGTGTATTTCTGCAGGTCTGTTTGTAGTTGCACAGGAGGAGAGGGGGGTCAGAGGTTGCACCGGGGCGCGGGTATGTCACTGGGCCTTGTCAGATGTTTGTTCACAGATCATATCAGGTCTCCTGTCAGCCAGATACCTGCCATTGTGAAAACCTCAGCCTTGAGCAGATTTGGCATGGCAGTGAATACGCCGTGCACCTCCTGAATAGGAATCACCCTGAGGTGGCTGAGAAAGTGGGAGGGGATTAGACTCTGTCACCACAGGGGTGGCTGGCTAGGGTGAGGGGTAGGTCAAAGGTCAGCCAGGGACTATAGGGGCTTAACATCTTGCGTCATCTCTCAAATAGTAAAAAGTGGACTCTGGTTGAACACTCCCTCCCCTCACTTACTCAAGCTGCGCTCTCTGGGAGCTAATGACTCATTGGCCCTACAGAAATCCAGCCTCTCAATGAATAGCAACTACTACAGCATTCAGCATTGTGAAAATGAAGCTTAACACAAGTGAAAGATGTGGTAAAAAAAAAAGGTTAAAGTGTGTTTACATTCTGCAGAGAAAGATATTCGTTAATTCAACCTTGAAAAGAGTTGTTTCGTGGCATGCTTCTGCAAGATAACCCAACAGCAATTTCATTACTGAGGCTGCAGCTGCAGTTTGTTTATTAAGGGTTCTATACATGAGATTACAGGAGCAAGCAATTATTTGTGGTGTAAAGATCAAGTGGAGTTATGGTGTTTCTATCAGAAAAGGAAGTCACACTTCCTCCGTGTGTTGCAATTTGAGCTTCTCTTTTCAGTGGTTAGGTAGCCGGTCTGGCTGCACATGATTCCCCCTCCCTCTAATGGGCTCATTATGCGCGTCCACCCAGCCTCTTGCGAATGGTACCAAAGACAAAAAGCGCCATCAAGTCCTCTGGCACAAGCTGCACTTTAGTGTCATTTTGGTTTCAGCTGGTCAAGCACTCGTCACCTTTTGCAATATTCCCCAAGTTGAAGACACGAGTGCACGATCATGTTCGTTTTGACCTCCAATTCACTGATCTATCAGTACAGGAGAGTTACAGAGATTATACAGTCTGACACTTTCTGGAAAAACTTTACATTTGCTTCCAGTTTTCACTTCTTCTACCCATACACCTGACGTAGAGGTTTAGTATGGGTGTCGCTATCGCTCAGGAGAACACTGTAGCGAGTACTCGCACCCTCAGTACTGGTACAAATGGTATGTCTGGATACTTTGCTGTTTGTGTGCAATACTGCCAATACGTGGAGCATAATGGGCCCATAAAGGTGTTCTACCTTCCCATCCTCCCTGCATTTATAAAGGGAATAAGAGTATTTAAAATTACGTTACTTTGCTCTCTAAAATGCCCTTTAAAAATAAAAGCATTTAGAAAAAAAGATCTTTAATAATGTTATTTACCTAATTTATATGCACATCTACACATATACAATCTATTTATATAGATGCACATGTGACAACACATTTTTTTTATCTTTAATTTGTGACATTTCTTGTGAAATTTTAAGTTTCACACAAACCAAACTCATTTTTACATCTACATTATTCATAAATAAGGTTACCCATCTCTCTGTCTCCCCTCACTGCTTCAATGTTCATTTTTTCCTCCATATTTTATTGTATTTTGTCATCAGTTGTTCTTCCTTCTGTGTTCTTCCCATTATCAGCTGTCATCTGCTGCTAATCCTGTGCTTTTTGCTCTGCCTGTGATATGCTGATGATGCTGATATTTCCTGTTCCTCCTACTAGATTCTAGGTCACAGATTCCCTAAGGACAAAATGTGAGGAGGACTCATGAGAAGAGAAGAGAAGAGAAGAGAAGAGAAGAGAAGAGAAGAGAAGAGAAGAGAAGAGAAGAGAAGAGAAGAGAAGAGAATATACCTTGTCTCCATCAGGGTTCGTATGGAGGCCACAGTAGGTCCAGATCCCAAGTGATTGTAGTAGGGCCCTTCATCTTTTTCAATTATGTGCTCTGAGGGGGGGGACAGTACAGAGTAAGAACACAACATTTTATCTGAAAAACGAATACAAACTGTAGCAGCAATTGACAATAAACACTGGATTTTTACAGTGTATCAGTGATTCCACTACAGCATGAATTCAACACAGAATCAGAACAAGATTGGGTAATATAGTCACTGCTGTTCAAATCTATAGCTTTGGTGGTAATGTCCCCTAACACCAGCCTATTTAAAACAGTTTCTCTTTTGAATTTGAATCTTTGGTTTTAAAAACATTTTTGCCTTTCACATTGACCAAAAATTTTACATCTAAGCCCCAATTCCTAACAAACCAACTCTTGGATCTGAGTGTCACTTAAATTGCACACAAAGAAGACTTGAAAAGTACAGCTTGGCTTTGCATGTTCTCACATGTTGTAGTGTTTTGTAAAAGGACAAAGGTACAGCGGATGTGCTTTGATGTATTTCTGGCCAAACTCAAAGATATTTTCTTTGTAGGTAAAGCCAGATCTTCTATGAGAAGCATGTGAAAGTAGAGCTCATTGCGACATCCAGTTCAAACACACGTTCACACACATGAACGCACACACACAGGGAGTGGTGTGGGGAGCAAAACATGGTGAAGCAGAAGCTTTTTGAGGTAGTGTGTGACTCAGTATGTAGGGATGTTTAGAGGGAGTGTTAGTGTGTGTGTTTTGTGTACATCTGAGGTGATGTTGTGCATGAGTATGTGTGAGCATTTGACCATTCCCCTGCACAAAACCTATGGTTTTAAACCACACCCTATGACTTCAGTGTTACATTTTCTATGAGATACTGTGCAGATTAATGGTATGATGGCCTCGAGGAATTTCGCATTGCCCAGCTGTATCAGCTAACTGTGTGTTGTTAAACTAACATTGTGTTGTTCTTGCTCTTGTATCATTTCTAAAGTACAACTGTGGATGCCAACATTACCAAAAATGCCCTTAATGCGCTCCACACTATCAGATGATTAAAATGCGGTCTTCCACTCTGTGTGTGTGTTGTGTTTGTATGTGTGTGTGGTTGTGTCCAGAGGCAACATGAGGTCACATTCTGCTGCTGGTGAAAGGAGGCTCCAGGGCGTGGTTCATGGCAGGAAATGGAGTAGTCATAGTCCATTTATGTGCAAAGAAAAAAAATATGTGTGTATATGTATATACTGTATCCTGTCTGTGTTAAAAACAACAAATTCCTATGCAGTGTTATGCTATACTGCTTAGAAAAGGAAATGTGTAACATAATTATGAAGGCTTGTTGTTTGTTGGTCTTTACCCCTAGTAACACCACATGGTTAGCAAGTGTGTGTCATTGACACTGCTCTTCCCACTGCTGTGCACTCCTTTTAGTGCTCAGATGCAACACAATTTTATGGACCAGGCCTTAATCCATCCCAAATCCACACCCAGCAAACTGTCAGTTTACCCGTTTTCTCCACGTCTAGTCTTGGTTGTAAAACAACTCGTCCGACCAGCCAACCTAACCCCTGGATACACTTCTTGGGCTTTCTGAGTCAGTCACACAACAGGCTTAAAAGGCTGTGCAATGCATGGAATACAATGTACATGCAATACAAAAGATTCCATAAATTACACATGCATATGCGTAAATAACATAAACATATTTATATTTGTTTGAAAAATGGGAGTCCTAAAACTAGTCCGTGTACATCGAGTGGCTGTTGTGTGGCTGTTAGATCACAATCGATTTTTAATCAAAGTTGTCAATCAAATGTTGCAGTAAAAAAAGCTTTCTGTATTATACTTATATCACAAAAAGGATTTTTTGCCTTGTCAGAGAGACTGACTGGAAATGCTGTTGTAGGTGGACACAGTGACAACATCTATCTGTTTATGGTATAGTTTTGTCATCATACAGTGACAAGTGTTGACTGGGAGATAAAATCAATGTGGGCAACTGGTACACAGTAACTCCAAGAAACAGGTTGTCATTTCTTAGTAGCCTGCCTGAGAACACAGTCTCTCGTTATTTGGTTTGTGTGTCGAGTTAATAAACTATTATCCACATTAGCTAACGCAGCAATATTCAGATTTACTGAGTTATTAATTAATGACTTACTGAGACACTATGCATTAGAATAACGTGAGTGTAGTCTAACAAATTAAATCTCCAGCATATAATGTCTTTAAATGAAACATTTCAACTGTAGGACCACCTACTTGGTTGTAAATAAATAGGCTTCCCTAAACAGGGTGCTACCCAAACTATGGGACTGAACTCCATTCTGTCTAACAAAGGCTCTGTTCTGCTTGCTTGCAAGACCCAAACCCACACAAAAGAGTCCTTCTGCCACCACTGCTATTGTTCCTGCATGTTGCCTTTATTGGCCCTCACTGTCACAGTCTAGATGGTCACTACCACGCACCCTGGCAACTTGCACATTCTTTCTTAGCTGCAACCAACCAGAAAACCAGAAAGAACTGGGGTGGGAATGGGGTGAAAAAATCTAAAAGTCAATCTGTTTACATCAATAAGCAAAGTGAAATGCTTACAATGGCCACATAATAGGCTGATTATTTTAGTGGAGGAATAAAACATTTCCAAAGATAACGAAATGTGCTCAAATTGACAGACTCAAATTGATCTCTAGTCAGAGATTAATAAGTAATGTTTTCAGAAGACTGATTATTGTTAGACTATTTCTAATTTGTGTCTGAAATGCACTTTGTGGATGGAAAGTAAGCTGTGTGACCATAAGCAGAGGCTGAGATGCAAAAACTTACCCACGCAGGTGCAGGTGGGAAACTCTGCCTGAAGATCCTTGGAAGGAGTACTTAGCAAGCTCTTAGTGGGTGTGTCAAGATAGCGTAAAGGAGAGTCCAAGAAGCCTTTGAGAGATGGTGAAGAGGGCACACCTTCCTTAGTTGGTGTGTCCTCCTCAGAAAAGCAGGTGGTGGACAATACTGTTATATCACCCGAGGATTCAATTTTCATTCGTTTTGACAGCGGAGAAGCTGGCATGCTAAAAGTATCCTGCACCACTCTGGACTGCTGCTGCCTCTCCACTATATCTTCCTGTTTCAGAGGAACTTGAACAGACTCCCTGTGCTGCATCTCCATAGGCCGTTCTGTAGATGCCTGGCTCAAGGATGCCTCACTTTGGGTCCTGGACTCATCTTTGCTCATTCCCATCTGATGATCTCGATGAGGTGTGGGGGTGGGTTGACTTGTGGAAATTAAGGGAAGTGGCTGGGAGGTGGATGATGATGCAGGACTGAGGTCCTGAGGACTACTCAGGGATTCATTCCCTGACTTTGGGGCTGTAGCAGTCTCCTCCACGGGCTGACTGGCAGATACGTCTGGAACTGAGTCCCCAAATTCAGCCTCAAACTGGCGGATCAACTCTTCGTACTTCGGGTCCAAGTTAAAGACGCTTGGTACATTTGAGGTGCTGGGTGAGGATGTGGAGGTCATAGGTGTCATGGTGCTGGTATTACTGGAGGCCAGGCTGCCCATCTCTTCTGACTTATTGTGAGCTGCAAGGCCCACAGGTGGGAGTAGAGGGCCCAGCTGGTCTGGAGTGTTTTCTGATGGAACAGAAACAGTGGAAGTGGGTGTCATTGAGGAATTGAAAATGGATACCTGAGATTGGGCTGGGGCAGGGAGGCCTGCAGCAGCAGCAGCCTGAGTGAAGTTACTGTGGAGGGGCAGTTGGTCGAGTGGACCTAGTTGCAGTTTGGCCAGGGGTGCGGATCTGTCCATCATGTGGACTGGTGGTTTCTGTGTGGTGATCTGAGTCTGAGGCAGAAAGGTTGGCATGGAGGCTTTCTGTTTGGGCTTCTTGATGATTATCTGTTTGGGTTTGGGAAGGGGAGGACCCAAAAACGTCTCAGTCATAGCTTTAAGACCAGGAGATCCTTGGCTGATTTTTTTCCTCTTGGGTTCCTGTTTGATGGCCAGATGTGACAGGGCCTCTGCATCCATCTGTGGCCACCATTTTTTCAAATTTTGGCAAGCCAGAGGCCCACGTGGGCCAACGCCTCCAAAGCCAGAGGGGTGGTTTGAGAAAAGATTCCTCTTGTAGTGAAGGTGCTGTTGTAGAGCTGCCTGAGTGGAGTGGCTAATGGCTGCTTGGCCAGGAGAGAGGGGAGTGCCAGGGTAGTGCTGACCCTGGTGCTGACCATTAGCCATACCATAATGTCCCATGGAGGCAGGGTGATGATAGTGGTCAGCAGAGTCTGACTCTTGTTTTATCCTGACCAATGCCGGGTTATCCTGGGCCTGGACAGTCCCATTCTGGTTCAAGCTAAGTTGTTGCGAAGCTGGAAGCTTAAAAGGAATTTTGCTAAACTTGCTACTGGTGTCACCAAGCAGCTGTTTGAGCTCTGACATGGGGTCTGAGCTACTATGAGGTGCAGTGGCAAGGTGAGACTGAGGCTCAGACTTCACACACATCCATGGATTTCTGTGTTCAGATCCTGTGCCTGAGGCTTGCTGCCACTGCAGGGGATTCGGGTTGAAGCCTGGTGGTTTTCCCTGACACGGGAAGGGAGAGGTAGAGGACTGGACAGGGGTAACATGGGGCGGATGGCCCTGGGATTGGGGTCTGTGGTGCTCACATGACTCTAGGGCCTGCTGGCTAGTTTGTAGTCCTGGAGGGACAGACTGAGAGCGTGAAGAAGATGAGTAGGTGCCAGAAGAGGATGGGATCATGCCAATGCCATTAAGAGGCTGAGATGCGGTGTTTTGGTTGTGTTGATGGTGATGGAGGTTATTTGTGTAGGGGGTTTGACCTGGGGAAGAGGCAGTTTGTGGGCTAGTACCAGATAACTGTGTCAGAGCATCTATGGCGATGGCTGTCTGAAGACTGATGTTCTTCTCCTTGGCTATGGAGAGCACCTGTGGCGAGCAAGGAATCGGTGGTTTGGAGCAGGGCACTTGATCTGGGTGAGTGCCTTGGCTTTCCTGTTGCTGCTGGGAGCATGAAATAGACAGATGGTGGCCACCATTTACTTGTTGGTAGGTCTGAGAGTGATGCAGCAAATGGGGTTGCTCTATGTGAGGTTGTAAATGTGAGGGAGTATCAACCAGTTTGTGGGAGCCTTGATCCTCATTGGTTGCTAATTTTATCTTCTTTTCCAGCCATTCAAGGTAGTCTGGACAGTCAGGCCCATCACAGTCGCAATTGGGAGGCTTGTGTCCATGTTTTGCTTGGCTCAGTGCTTTCTGTAAGGTCTCCAGGTCTTCTGAAGGTGGGCAGCTACCCTCAGGAGCCCCTGCAGAGATTCTAGCTTGAGCCTTCCCAGCGCCTGTTTCCTGGGTAAACTTCTCATACAAATAGGCTGTAGTAGCCTGCAAGAGGTGGCAGGAAGAGGAGGAAGAATGAGGCAGTGAGCCAGCAATAGCAGAAAAAGCCACCAGATTGTGAGCATCCTCCATGTCTGCATGGTGTACAGGTTCAGCAGGGGTTGCACCACACGTTTGCTGTTGTTGGGTGTCGCTGACCTTGCCATGTCCAGGCACCCAGCACTGCCTTGGCAGCACGCTTTCTGCACACTGCTGCTCTGTTTCTATAGATGGCTCACCATCATTAGGGTACTGATTCACCCCATTGGCCAGTTCCAGGCTCAGCGCGCCTTCCTGGAGGCGGTCATGTGACCCAATTTCCATCTGGCCTCCACTTCTGGGGCCATCCACTGAAGTAACTTTGTGAACAGTCTAAAAGACAAACACAGAGCACAGGTAATGAGGATGTGAAAAACAATGGATTCAGATGCACATCGTACACATTAGGTATGGCTTTAAAATAGTAATTGTGCTAAACTAGATTATGCTATACTAAATGTACTCATGGCATTCAGTAGTTACTATTACAGCATTCCTTGGATGAGTATCAACCCAGTAATCCAGGACTCCATTCCCTTCTTTCCAGCTCTTATCCAGAGTTTGCCACCCACCTCTCACACATGCATAGCATAAAGTTTCTCCGGGTCACACCAGTAAGGCTGGTGTAAACTCTTCTCATATTCAGTGGGCTTATTTTACAACTGGTAAGTCACAGGTCACGTGACAAAATTCCACAGTTGTTTATAAATGGACGTTCTACTTGAGATCCGCTGGGCTATACAAAGCAGGCAGTGGTGTTAGGAGACATTGTGAGCCAGATGTGGGAAGCACAGAGAAAAGAAAATGCAGTACAAATCCACATCCTTGGACTCTGTTTTCATAATTTATTACTGGAAATATTAAAAAAAAAAAAAAACACTGAGGACTTATCAGCATTTTACTCTTATCTCAAGAAACCAATAAGGGAAACAGGTCAAATGCTTAATGTAGCTTTTCAGAAACACAATTACTTGATTAGAACGTGTAAATGTTTATAATTTCTAAATGTAAATTATAAAATAATAAATCAAATCGGATAGTGAAGAAGTGGATTCATTATGGCCTATGCCATTTTACCAAAGTGTATAGAATCAAGAAATGTCTTCAGTTCTTTTATATACTAAGTGTCTGGATGTGAGCAGCACAGCTCTGTTTACTGGGTTTGTAGACTCATTTTTTACAAGACCAAAATTCATTTCCTCTGAAACAAGACCTTAAATGGTAAACCCAAATTGGCCTGAATATCTAAAGATAATCTCCTGTCTAACAGCTACTCATCAGTAGATATAAATCAAGCTGAGCAAAGATCAAACTGCTATGGATGTTGAAAGTACAGTCATGAGATTTATCTGAGAGAACTGCTGACCAAGTGTGGATTTACAAAATACTGGTGTCCTTTGTTCAAGAGTGAAGGGACATTTTAACACAGCCTCATGATTGAACAATACAGTTATTTTGTCATGACACCAACACAGAGGGTTTTAACCCCTGTATGTATGCACTGGTGTTTAGTTTGAATACATACTGGATATAACCCCCCAGCAGATTATGTATCATATGATTAATGCTTATTTAAAGACCCATTCTATTTTTAGGAAGTTGGGGAAGGTCAAATAGTGAAAGCAGAAGCAAACTGAAAACAATCTGCTTCCATGTCACCACTTCTGAACCAGAATTTTCAGTATAAAATAAGACCAAAAACCTTTCTGTTTTTGTGATTTAAGCAACACTGTTATGTGGGACACCAGTGGCTGGTTATATCTTTTGGTGGCAGTCCTATGTCCTACACCTAGAGATGTACAGGAACAGGAATATCAGGAGACCATGTTTTGCATCTTATTTGAATCTTTCATACTGTGTGCTGCTTTGTTGTCCCTTTAATTCGTTTCGTTGCGCTCTCTTTTCATCTTTGCTTCCACTTATTGGATAAGTGTAACAAAAGTCCTTGTTAACATTTAGGAAAAGAATGTGATTTGTGTTAAAAGACACACTTCACAACAGAAACCCTGCACATCAAAAAGTGAAGTCTGCCTGTTGTGTTTAAATGTGATGCAAAGAGGTCTCATGAAAACAGGCTGCAAAAAAACAACTCATACATTGGTGAGTCAGACTTTAAGCCTTCACTTAAAGTAAGAGGTTTTCCATCTGAGTGACCACATGCAACATTAATCATGTGATTATTGATTAGTTCTACGATTCAGATTATAGATTGTTATCATGTGGTCTTTTGGCTTGATCACGCAGTAGATTCAGCAGGCACAATACTTCCCAAGTCAGGTTTCACAGTTGATTTGATGCTGGGCTTGCATGGGAAGTGGTTGAAAAAGCAAATTCACTAGTTTAATTCAATAATTTACAGACACTCCCAAGCATCAAGCACCCCACAGCTATAGGAGGATAGCTTAAGTTATCATTTATACAGTAAAAGCGCATTACTAATGGACACATATTGCACATAACACTGCACAGAAATTGACCGATGATAGCACTTTTTTAATTCAATAACATTAACAGTCCCATGAGTCTTTGCTTTCTCTGACACAAAACTGTCCAGAATCCCAAGTGACTGCCCCTCTCAGCTTGATACAGTACAGAGGGTCGACTCATACAGGACAATTAAAACACTGCTGCAGTTTTAAATCTGTGCTTTATTGTTTCTGCGTCATTAGTTACTATGACATCCATCTCAAGTCAAAGCAAGCCATTTTTAGGGACATTTTGTGTGATGATTACTCATTTTAAGCTTTCAGTGTTTCCACATTGTTGAAACGTGATCACTGAGCATGTATATATATGTAGTGACAGTGGCTTGTGCTATAAACCATGTGCTTTTCAAACATTAGTGTAGCAGTTCAGGAATTTGATTCACTAGTTTTCATTTCTGATTTCTGGTTTCTCCATATCTAAAATGACTGTAGGCTGTGAGGCTTTTCATAGTTTGACTTCCTTTTTTCGGAGATTGCAGCTCTATACTATTATCTCTTTTCCTCCAAGTCAAAATGCCAACCTGGTCATCTTGAAATACATTTTCAAACTTTTTATTTTAGTCTGCTTGAACAATGGAACAAAATGTAAAGTGGTGTCGATCTTTCAAAAGTTATGTTGTTAAATTTGTCTAAATCTCAGTGATCTTAATACATTAAGTCCAGATGTGGTTTGCAAATAAAACCAGTGAGTGTACAAGCCATTCAGTCTTCAGGTTGGTTCCTTGTAGATTATATTATAATGAATCCAGCAGAGAAGAAAAGCAAACAAAGATAATCCAAGGGCAGCTTCAGAAATCATTGACAGAGTTCATGTTGTTGCATTTGAACTTGCTCAGAGGTTCACAGGAGAGTGAAACAGTGGCACTATATGACTACATTAGATGTGCTGGCAACACAGAGGGAAGTCTGCAGGCTGTATTACAGTAAATAGTTGAGATGCTTCAATTCGCACCTGCTGCATGCTTTGTGCAGTTGTGTTCAGTTTAAAGAGCCCAAAAAACTAGAAGATGCTTGAAGATCATGTTGCAGAGGAAGACGTTATTTGTTTTATGCATACACTTTTAAATATATAATGTATGTAGATCTGAATCACTCAGTATTAGATCATCCCCACCAGAAGAAAAGAAAGAAAGAAAAGGGCTTCAGTTTGTAGCTCCATTAGTGTGCGGTAGCAGAAGTGAGCCTGATGTCCAGCTTCCCCATCATTTGAATATTATTGAAATGAGCCTTTGAAGTGGCTAATTACTGGACATTCTGTAAGCCTTCTGAATTCACTTTCTGTACTGGGTGTCTAGCAGGCGGCTCCCAGGGGGGGTTGCTGGTGTTATGGGTGAGAGGTGAAGCTGGTTTGGAAACCGGAGAGTTTTAGAGGAGGGTGCAGCGAACAGCCGGCATGCAATACGTGAGAGGCCCCATGTTTTTACTATCAGTAGCATCAGATGGGAAAGAGGAAGGGGGGGTGGAGGTAGCTGCGTGCAGTTATGAAAACTGCAGTGTGTTGAAACAGAGCGACTGCAAGACTGCATAACCTACGAACCCACAATCACGCACAGTCACACACTGACACTCTCTTTTCCTCCTTTTTTCACAGTTGTGCACACAAAACGCAGCAAAAGAAAGGTCAGAGGGGTTCGAAGCTGAACACCCGGAACAAATGGACTTCGCTGAGCTTTGACGCCAAACAACCCCAAACCCTCCTCCACCGCACACACACACACACACACATTAAAGGCTCTTTTGACAAAACTTAGTCGATCTAAAACCAGTCCAAATTGTGAAATGTTGCGCTGACACCTGCACCGCTTCACACCTACCCGGCTGCCCAAACTGCACAAACCACGTGCTTTTGCAAATATTTACACTATGACATAGCCTGTTGTATTCTCTCTGTGTCGCACACAAACACACTTGTGCAGACTTGACACACAAAAACGGCACAAAGTGTATCCAAAAACACCAACCAGCCCAACTGGCTTAGACCTTGTAGAACCTGGTAGACCAGACACTTGAGTCTGGGAGCCCTTTAAACGAGACAAGCCTGTGCAGTTTTGTTTGTGAGAGTGCTCTTTAACCCTGACACTGGAGGGAGGAGACAGAATATGTGAGGATAGTAGAGGTGGCGGCGGCGGTGGCGAGAGCCTGTGAGTAGACAGCTGAACCTAAATCCAACACCAACTCATCCTCCCTCTTATCCTCCTCCCTCTTCTCCCACCCCCTCCCCTTCCCCTTTTTGCTGTCGTGCCGAACATTAAGCAGAGACCCTGACAATATGAAGCTGGCTGAGAGCCTCTAGGACACAGCAAACGCGTACTTACGTCGTCCTAGACGTCCAGACGGGGCTGCCGGTCGAAGAGTGGGGAGCAGAAGAGGAAACAGAGAGTAGCATGAGAATTGCTCGCCGGTGCAGCAGCAGTCCACGAGCGATCTGGCCTTGTTGGGGGGTTGTATTCCTCGTTTTTTTTTTTTTTCTATTTCTCCCAGCCCGGGCGGCGCGCAGACAGAGCGAGCGGTGACACACACATAAATGCACTCACACACGGCCAGCCGCACGCACAGCGCACACCTCCCCCCAGCACACCGCACACGTTTCTCATTCTCTTGCCTATTCTTATGACCAGCGCTTTCTGTTCTCTGCTTTTTCCTTTCTCATTATCTCTGTCTGCTCCTCCCTTCCCTTTTTCAATATCCTCTTTCTTTCTCTTCACTACAGATGCAGTCGGCTTCTCCTCGCAGCCCCCACCTTCACCTCCCCTCCTCCTCCTCCCCTCTCTCTTTCCCTCCCTCCATTGCCCTCCCTCTCGCGCAGCCTCTCCCTCCATCTCCTCTCCCCTCTCTCTCTCTCGCGCTTTTCAGTGTGTGTTTAGAGCGAGAGGCCATTATCTAAGCCACAGCGGGCACGTACGAATGGAATGGAGGAGTGCGCAGTGAGCAGAAACACAGAGAGCGGTGGGGGGATAGTTGCTAGCAGCAGCAGCAGCAGCCTTGGAAACAGCACAGTGCAGCAGAGCTCCTTACCAGTGAGAAAACCCCTCTCGGTCTCTATCCACACCCATTCCACATTATGTGCTCTGCTGCATTAGATTATGTTATATATAAGGCTCTATCTCTGTCTGTGTGTGTGTTTTGTTTATCGCCATAAGCCCCATACTGGCAATTCTGAGTGTGACAGAGCTTCTCTGCTTTCGACCGCAGAGGCAAACCAGCGGCTTGCAAACGAAAACGCAATCTCATCGCGCAATGGCATCAACACAGGGAAAAAAAGAAAGAGAGAAAAGGGAGCAGAGAAAAGCATCATTACACTCCTTGTTTATGCCTTTTGTAAACGACATCCGTTTTTTTTCCTCGCGGACATTTTTGCTCCATCTAGATTGGGCTCCACCGCGGGCCGAAGGAGAAACCACCGATGATGGTTGTTCCATCTCCATTTTCATTCCTGTCCGCATTCACATCGCTTCCCTGTTCCTCGTGTGACAGGAAAAGCTTCAGACCTACACCTGTGACTGATAACAGATCCTCTAGGATGCTCTCGCAAGAGAGGGAGAGGATTGCTGGCGCTGTTGCCGGCCCTTTAATCCAAGATCCAAAGGACGCAAACGCAAAGTAGAAGGCTTCCGACTGCAGGAAGCTCAGGGTCACTTGGTTTAAAAGAAATCACCAACACTCTATGATGTCAACTCACTCCTGCAGATGTCGGGAAGCAAACGAAAGAAGACCTATATGCTCAGGAGTAAAGCAGCAAGGCGGCTGAATTGGGCAATGGAGAGTGAGAGGGGCACGACTCTTCAACATCGGTGAGCAAGAGGAACAGAGTGGAGATAGGAAGAGGGAAATCTGTGGAGTACACTGTTGAAACGTGCAGAGTTGATCAGCTGTTCGTGTGATACTGATTCTGTAACCAGAGGTACGAGAGTGGCACAAACAGAAAAAGGGTCAGGAGGTTGCTGCCGAATGAAGACCGCGAGGAGCCGACTAATCACAGTTCATCGATGGCTTCTGTCCTACCCGTCCGCCAGCGTGTGACAACGTTCTCCCATTCCTCACCATTGTCGCCTTTCCTTGCTGTCACTGGCATTATCATTATGAACGCCGTCATCGCCTCTGGGTGACCGGCTCTGCGGTCCTCTCTTCGCTCCTACATTGCTGGAGTTTTGGAGAAGATTTAACCAGGAAGAGGAGGAGGAGGTTGGGTATTATGGCCGTCTCCCTCATGCAGATCGCTGTCAGCTCCTGCGTAGTGTTTTTCTCTTATATTACTGAGCATGTGTGAGCTACACTGCACTGTGGCTGGATTAACTTCTGTAGCCCTTCCCTGCTTCACTTCCTTTGGCTTTCCCTGTCTCTCCTGGTCTCTCATTTTCTCTGGCATCTTCAATCTGCCTTTGCCTGTCTCTCTCTCTCTCTCTCTTTCTCAATTCGTCTCTACTGTTTTGTTTCCCGAGCTTTTTGCCTCCATCCAGCATAGCTTATTGCATTACCGTTCCAACACTTTTCTCACGCGCTCGCTCTCTGGCGCTATAAAATTGCACACACTGTCTGTCTCGTTGTTGCCGCACAATTTCATATGTACACACACAGATGAGCGTCAATCCCAAAGAGAAACACAGCCCGAGCCGTCTAAAAAGGAAGGGGATGGAGAAGTAGAGCATTAAGGTCACGTGACCAGGGAGGGCCAATGAGTGGGAAGGGAGAGTATAGTGAGCGAGAGAGGTAGGAAACACATGTGGCGGTGACGTAGCTGTACCGTCACCGTCATCGTCATCAGTGTCTCCCACCAGGACGCTTGCCTCCACCACTGGGTGGGCGCGTGTCATCCCGAGCACATGCCCACCATCACCAAAACCACACCAAAAAAACTGAAGCTCAGAAAGCACGCTCTTTTTATTCACCCGGCTGGCTGGTGTTCACTTGCTCACTCCCCCGACTGTAGTGACACAGCGTTTCTCGCTCAGCATTTGGCTTAACCCCTGAATCTGTTCTGTACGCACACTTCCTCATTTTAGACATCTCCTGAACACAACAGGCTCCTTAAACAGTCCCATCTTATGTGAAGTTAGCACTTCCATAGTTTATATCCAAAATTTGGAGAGCGAGGCAAAGAGGATGAAAGAGAACTTAATAAACATGAACTCTGCCTGACTCTGTCACTGTCCACAGCTGAGTAAAACAAAGAAACGCTGTTTGACCAAAACACCAACATGAGGGAAGGGATTCAGCTGTTTCCGACACATGATGTGCCCACACTGTAAATACAGCATGTAAGCTGACACAGTTTGCTCCATGTCAGAAGGCACGAGTAATTTACAGTAAGAGTGCTCTTGATTCAAGCACATGTCTTCTTTGATGACTCATATCAGCTTACATCGGTGTCATTTCACATAAGACATTGCTCAAAATTTCTTCACCACCATCGGACTGGCCATCTCTGACAAAAGGAATAGAAATCTACCGAAGCGAAGCAGCAATGGCAGAAAAGCGCGTTGTCGCTTTAAGATGCTGGCGTGCGTTTCGTGGATTCCAATGCTGCCATTCAGGTTTGTTCAACAGAGCTGGTGTGAAGTCACCTCGTGAGCACAACTGTAGCGCGGTGAAAGAGAACGTTAGAAGTGCAGGGCAGTCGTGCCTTTAGCAAACTTTTGAGTCATCGAGGTTACCTGATATTTGAAATGACAACAACAATCCACGCAGCTTGACATTTAAGTGAAAATGAAATCGCACTTACGGTAAACCTGTAATTCGGCATTGAGAGACACACAGGAGAGGTAACAAAGACTCCTCATCGATCACTTCATTTCACGGTGTAGTCACATTTATCATCCAAGATGAGTTACTGCACGCCCTCATCTCTCTCCCCCTCTCAATTCTCAGGCTCTCGCTCTTTTTCTCAGCAGCACGGAGGAAAGGTCTAGGTTGTAGGAGGGATGACTGACAACAAAAGTCCATCCGCAGCAATGTGTGTGCTCGCTTATGAGTAAAGCTTGAGTCATCCTCTTCTTTTGAACGAAGTCCTGACACAGAACCCTCAAACAGTGAAACAAGCTTTTCAATTTGCTTTTTTTTTTGCCAGCACCTCGCTAGTGGGAGGTGTACGTGAATGAAGCATACCGACAGAGAACAAAATGTTTGCTTTTCAGGCAGTCCGGGAGTTGAATTCTTGCGATTTCACTGTTAGACGTGCTTTAAAAAAACATTTGTTTCCAGCAGTGACCAAACTCACAGGAGCATGACACAAGGGTCCTTTGCCTCTCCTAACATCACTTCCTGTCAGCTGATTCCATTTCCTCTATCCACCTCTGTGCGCCCCCATCCCCAGCACACATTGTCCCGCATTCTAATGGCATCAAGGTCATCGGATCTGACACACTGTGTGCACCCCCCTCCTTCCCTTTCTCTTTTTTTTTTGCTCCACATCTCTTTATCTTTCACTTCCTGCCCCCCCCTCCAAACTGCTCACATGCACGCAGACGCTCCAGTGCATGCACATCAACTGTCAACAAATGCAGAGGCATGCTTTAATGAGCTCTCTCCACTCTCTCCACACACACACACACACACACAGAGTACACACTAGTATGCACACAGTCCACTGAGGGTCACTGGGTTTATTGGTGGGGAGGGGCCAGAGACCATAGGGCACATTATATTTAGCACCAAGGTCGTAATCATAACATATTTTGGAGGGGAGACTTTTAAATGTGTTCTGTATCCTTTCTATCTAGAGACAGAGAACAGATACAGCAACATATGGAGAATTTATGTGAACTTTTATTTGCATAATAAGTCCTGTATGTATATTCTAATGCTTCTCTTATGATTCAGAACACTACACTATTTTCCGTATAGTTTAGTCATTTTTTACAATACAATCTACAAAATGCGTGTGTGCGTGTGTGTGTGTGTGTGCGTGAGCGTGTGGGTTTAGGTTTTTTTTTAGTCATAACTGGTTTTCTGAAAAACACATAAAAACAGTAATGAGAAAACTGCCTGTTTGAGTAAGTGTAACTGCATCTGTAACTGTAACTTGAGCAACAAGACTCTTTACCTATTGTTCATTTTCAGGCATCACCTAATTTCATCTGTGCACCTGTCTGTTTGGCCGTTTTTCTCTCTTTGTTTCAGCTTGGTGTCCAAACACACTCGTGCCAAACCCCCACTCAGCCAGGACGGTGTTAAGTTCAGGGTATGTTTAGGTGTAGATTGCACCACAGCGTAGTGTATATCAAGTCTGAGTCATACCTCCTGACATTTGGCACGTGCAAGTCAGCACGGATTGCCCAGCTGGGGGAAGGCCTACCCGCCTATCCCCCGTCAAACCCCACCCCTCGCTATTCCTCACAAAGAGAAATGGAGGAGTGGCTTGCGAAGGAGGAGAGGAGGAAAAAAATGGGAAAGGTGGTGCCGGGTAAGAGGCTGTTAAGCAGGGTGGAGCCACAAAAAGAAGAGGAAGGGGAAGGGGGGGCTGTTTTTAAGAGACAGCTCTTTGTGCTTCAGGATTTGAACAACAGCAGGATCAATGAGCAGAACAGAATGTGTTATCAGAAAGTTTTTGGACCTGAGACAAACAGGGTGAAGGGAAATGAATGAAAAACAAGTGAGTTCAGAACGGTTTGAACCTGTGAAAGAACACTGCGTGCCGCTACCTGCTCGCCTTCTGTATGCCAAGTGCTGAAAAAGAGCTGAGTGGTCAGATTTGTTTGGACAGTGATGTAATCATTAACAGAACGCAGCAGTAAAGATGGGCAGAGTGTGTTCTGACAGGTGAAACACTGACTGAGAGGCTTGGTAATGACTTTTGGGTTGCAATATTAATTTTTAAGACTCGAGAGCGAGAAAGACATAAAGCAACAGAAACCTGCCTCAGCCCCTGCACGGTGGCTGGTTGCCAGCCTTGTCTCTCTCTCAGGACTCGGGCTAAGATTAGCTTCCCATATGTTCAAGTCAGGCGTAGCCAGACTTAAAGGGCCAGTGCTCGACCGTGGCAAAACAAGAAAGCCTTCACTGTGTTTGCTGATGGTCTACATCAACACACATGTGAAGGTTCAGCGTGCATTTTTAATCATTCCAGTGAAAGCTGGGCTCATAACAGATAACTACTGGAAACTGATAAGATGCGGTGCTTTTCTTGTATGCTTCCAGTTATAGACTTTGTTCTTTAATATCGTCCTTTTTCGTGTGTGTGTTTTGATACTATGGCATGAAAACTCCCACAGCTGTTGGGCTGTATTACATAAAACCTGGCAGCGTCTGGCAGCAGTGGGATTCAGGATTGTTTAAACTGGATGCCCAGTGGGAGCAGCAGAGCAGCCGCCAGAGAGGCGAGAGTTCGAGCTCAAGCAACAGCTGATGACTCCTCCCCTTCTCCCTCCATTCATTTTTTATTAACTGCGGCACGGTGCGGCTGACGACCTCGCTCTAACATCAGACACCACCAACGATGCCACCGACCGCAACTCATCGCGCTCGCAGGATACCAAACCAGGCCCCCGCCAGGTTTGGTCACTAGTAACAGAAACCCAAAGCAGCCCAGCGAGGCAGTGCCGAAAGAAATGTCTGCTAATTGTCATTAATTAGAAATGAAACATGACAATAGTTCAGGGTTTTGCAAGTCCTTAATGACTGCATACAAGTGAGGCAATTATTGGTGACTGTATAAATTAAAATGTCACATCAAATTCCACAAGGACCTATGAGATGTGATGTTTTGAAATCCTGGGAGTGCTTTTTCTTTTACAATCTCGGCGAACATTTACTTTTCAACCAGTGCATCTAAAGTAGAGCAGGGCGATATGACCAAAAATATTTATCACGATATACATTTGAAAATTTGCGATAACGATATAACTGACGATATAATTGACACTAGACAAAACACTTTAAAACTCCACAACTTTATTAGTGCAAAAAAAAACAAAACAAAAAAAACCCCATCAATGATTTTCACTTAAACAAGCAGCTGTTTTTTATGTGCATTAGAATTATATAAAATGTAACAGTGCAAATTTCTTGCTGACAGTTTAACCAAAAGGCATTTCCAGTGGAAACTGGCCGACATATATTCAGCATAACCATGTATAATATCCACAAAACTTAAAAAGAGGTTATACACACACAATACGGTAATATTATGTTGAAGCACAGTATGTATCACTCCGCGAGGCTCCTGCCTACGATAGCCGTAATGATCCGACAATCCATCAAGCGGTGCGGCTTCGTAGCTTAGCAAAGTCGTACTAAAACATTTGACAGATTTTCGAGCGCCGTGTACATAAAATAGTTTCGAGGTCAGTAAACACAACCAGAATTTGTACATAAGGCACACGGGATTATAAGGGGCACTGTCGATTTTCAGAAAAATCAAAGGATTGATTTTAAGTGTGCCGTATTTTCCAAACAACACGGTAATAACGACGGCCCGCTAGCATGCGCTACCGAAAATAGTGTTTTGTTGTGTATCTGACGGACGAAAGCTAAACCAGTTGCACACCACTGAAGTTGCAGCATTTTTACAAACCAATTCTGGTTCATCTGTTTCATTCAACGGTCCGCTTTCTCCCTTCTCGTTCTCCGTCGCCGTCATGCTTTTTCCACCATGTACGTATGAAAACAAAGGCACTGCACATGCACGTTTTACCCATATTCTATCACGATATTTCATTTTCTTATCGTTGCCCAACATTATACCGTATCACCATGAACGGTATGATATGGTCCAGCCCTAATCTAAAGTGACTTCTGAAGCAGGCTGTCCTCAGTGTAAGACCAGAGGTGTGTCAAGTGATTATGCGGGTACACTGGGTAATTATTTATCTGTCTTTTTTTAGACAGTCTATGTGCTGCACAGTGCTATGTGTCCAGCTTGTTTTGATGAAAACTTGCTTCAAGCTTGCTGTCTAATTCAGAACATTCAGAAAGAGGTTTTACTCATGAGGTATCCATCTCAAAAGTTCCTCATCTCAAAAATAAAACGTACTTTTCTGTGTTCATATTATGATCAATTTTGACAAGATCCCTAACACTGCTGACTGAAATGCAGCCTCAAACCATGACAGAGCCTCTAACGTGTTTTACAGATATAGTAGACGCTCACTGCTGTACCTTTCTCCTGACCTCCTGTATCCATATTGACGGTGTGAAAAAGTTGGATTTATTATTTTACAAGATATTTCAGGACTAGATGCATCTCTCAGGTCTTGTATCAGGTCTTTGCTGGATTTTTTTCCTTGCCTTTGGCTGATGGCTCTTGGGAATCTGCTATTGGTACAAAAATACTATTTTTTCCCTGTCAAACTGTGCTATCCTCGACATTTTTTATAGATTCAACTCACAAAATGTGAACAAATTGGGTCATATTGTGACAGGCTGCTTGTAACAAACCGCCTACAAACAATTTAAAATTTGCTCTTTCTAACTAGATATAATACTGGTTCAACCTTTTCTATGCTGAAAAAATAAGTGAAAAAGCAGCCTCTGTCCAAACAAACCCTTTCCGAAATTCTGGAGAACTATTGCATTTTTAAAGACCGCTTTAAAAAAAAAATACTACAAAGTCTGGCAAAACACAAAGAAAGAAGGAGTGGCTTGTTTTACAATAACGTGCATTTGATTGCAGAAGCTATGTTATTATTAACCCATTTGGTAGTTTTGTTTAAATAGTCTTTACTTCCCATAATACAGTTTGTATTTTCAGGAAGTAAAGATGCATCTTTCATTTCTTGGAAAAAAAAACTAATATTGTTACATAACATAACAAATGCCCAAAATAAAGCATCAACAAGAAAGATCTGTTCAAAGTAGGCCAGTCTACCAACTACGGGAATTCTTCACAGTCACAGTTTACACAAATTTGAATAAACCATTAGCTGCACTTCTTTACTGACTGAGTGGAAACCTCACAGAACAGTAAATACATCGAAAGCTAACACTGAATGGAAGAGGTGATGTCAAACCCTCCACTTCCTGAGTTTGTACTATACACCAAACCACTTACTACACAAACACACACACAATACGCACATGTGGTGCCGGCTAGCTGGTCACGTGACCAACCTTGGACGCCGAACGCCAGCTAAAATTAAAGCAATGATGTCATCAGACATTCAGTGTTGCCACGGAAACTAGGTCAGTATTAACCCTTTGCCGATGAGGCCGGGGATTCCAAAGCTCGACGAGTGATTAATAAACATTCCATGTGCCATCACGTACACAGCAGCGTCAGGGTTTCTACTCTGTCTCTGACTCGTTTCCCACCTGTGTGAAGTTCACCTCGTGCATAAAGAGGAAATCCTGTGCATAGGCGTGGAAAAAAAAAAAGAAAAAGAAAAGAAAGAAATCACATGAGCGCAGTCTGTCTGTCTGTAACCCACTGTGGTACACCTCTCAATTCAGCTTTGCTTCCTGAACAGCAGAAAAACAAACTTGCTTTCAAACTCACTTTAAACCATTTTGTTTAATGTTCTTGGGGCTGTACATGCCTAATGATACTCTGTAACTGCTTATTTTAGTTTTCTAAAATGGTGCCCTCGGTCTGTTGGGTGTAGACTGTGTTTGCCTGTGTGCGACCAGGGAAATGTTTGACAAGGAAACAGATCTTGGTCGAGATAAACACTCCACCCAGGATCCGCACGGCAACCATGACCCTCTGCAAACA